GTGGGAGGGGGATTAAATGGGTGGGTAGGGTCAGTGATGGGGGAGAGCGTACACAGGGCAGTGGGAGGGGGATTAAATGGGTGGGTAGGGTCAGTGATGGGGGAGAGTATACACGGGGCAATGGGAGGGGGATTAAATGGGTAGGTAGGGTCAGTGATGGGGGGAGAGTGTACACGGGGCTGTGGGAGGGGGATTAAATGGGTGGGTAGTGTCAGTGATGGGGGAGTGTACACGGGGCTGTGGGAGGGGGATTAAATGGGTGGGTAGTGTCAGTGATGGGGGGAGAGTGTACACGGGGCAGTGGGAGGGGGATTAAATGGGTGGGTAGGGTCAGTGATGGGGGAGAGTATACACAGGGCAGTGACAGGTTTTGCTGATTTGATGGGCAGAATATTTCAGGGGTATTTTCTTTAATTGGTTAGTCATTATTGCAAACTGAAAGTAATATTTACATTTTAGTTGTATGAAAGTAACCGGATTTAAATGTTTAAATGTATCTGGGAATAGGGTAACCTAACACATGCCGAGCTGGCTGTTGCTGTGGAGATGTTATCTTCTGTGGCACTGATCAATCGCACGCTGGAGGCTGGAGATGTGAATGGGGTGTGGAGACAGATCCAGAACCCAGTGACAGGACTCACTAATGTGGACGATGGCAATGCTCAGAGGTAAGAGCACAGCCGAGAGACCAGGCTTTAGGGAGTCACTGATGGAGAGAGAGGGGACAAAATGGAGCCATCAGATTTGTAGATTAAACCTCCTGTTCACAATCTCAGATTGCATTAATGTGATACTTTTGACATTGTGACCATCGCAAAGTGTTTCACACAGCATTACTGAAATAAATGCACAAGAGACCGGTATCCTGTCACCAAGTCACCCTATATTTAGATGTGGTCTGATCAGCCAGTTCAGAGTCATTCCCTAGACTGAGGAGCTCTTCTGAATCTCCTGTCAGCCAGGGCTCCCTGATTGGCCCAGGCTAACAACACCAGTCAAGGATCTCGTCGTCAATGAGGTCCACCTGGCCATGGGTTCCAATCACTACAATCATCAAAGAACATTTGACTCCATCGTGATCGCACAGAGAGTGCGATGACAGCTCTTGGAAAGGAATGTCCGCCCAATGGACGAGGAATGGTCCTCAAGGTAATACAAACAGAGAAGCCCAGAGATCTCAGAGGATGGCAGAACTGGAGGGGTTTACAGAGAGAGAGGGGGGGGGACACAGCTTTTGAGGGATTTGAAAATCAAGAGGCTGTCTGCCTGAGAGCCAGAGGGTGAGACAGTCATGTGGTTTATATAGGGTATGTACAATTGACCTCTATCCCATCATCATGTTTGTAGTGACTGTCCCAAGGTCAGCCAGATGGACCTCATAGAATACGAGTTCCCTGATTGGGGGTGTTAACCTGGTCCAGTCAGGGAGCCCTGGCTGACAGATATAAACAGGAGTGTCAGACACCTTGTTCACTCTGAGAGCTGGCTCTGAGGGAACTGAATCAGTGACAAGGACTCTGCACGTGTAAATAAAGGGTGACTTGGTGATGGGATACCGGCCTCTGTGGAGTTATTTCCCGTCCATTGTTACTTTAGGTTCAGCTGTCCCTGGGGTTGCTGTTTTTATATAGTGGAACAAGGGGAGTCCATTCAGCCCCTCAAGCCTGTTCTGCCACTCAGTTTGATAACAGCTGATCTGTATTTTAGCTCAGTCTAGCTGCCTTAGTGCTGTAACCTTTAGAAAATCTAAATCGCAGTTTTGACATTTTCAATTTATCCCCAATCTAATAGCATAGAAACAGAAGGAGTCTTACATTTCCACTCCCTGTTTCCTGTCATTGCCCCTTAATGACCTGGCTCTCATTTTAAGGTTTTCCAACTCATTCGACCCAATGAGATCGTTTATTGATGTCTGAAACTCTCTGAATAAGATCACCCCTCAGCTTTAATCCTCACGGTGACCTTTGTGTGTGGTAGGTATGTGGATGAGCTGATGAGAATGAAGGCCAGGGCTCGAGCAGAGGGCAATGAGTTTCTCACCTGGAACGACATCCAGGGATCGGTTGACCAGGTGAACGTGGTGGTCCAAGAGGAACATGACCGTAAGTAGACAGTGGAAACGGGAAGCCAAAATTCCCTTTTATACTTTAGCTCTCCTCGTGCCTGAGTCTATTGCTGACTGATTGATCGGTGTGATTAGCAAATTAAGCTGTTACCATTCTACTGCACAAATATAGAATGGCAGGAGGAGAGTCAGTGCACTGTAGCCTTTAGTCCTCTCTTAATTGTCAATATTTTCAAATGTCCATTCTTCAGGCCTGGTGCTGTTGTGTGAGAATCAACTGTACATGAAGTAGCTAGGAAGGCAAATGGAATATTGGCCTGAATAGCAAAGGGGGAAGGAGTGTGAAAGTAGCGGGGGCTTGTTACAACAGTACTGGGTATTGGCGAGACTGCAGCTGGATCTCATATCATCACCTCACTTAAGAAGGGGATTAAGGGGGCTTTCTTTTGGTGCCGTGACTGGGAGACGCAGGTTCAAGTCCCACTTGTTCCAGTGGTAAATAATAACATCTCTGTACAGCTGATGAGAAAAACAGATTAAATATTTTTTTTAAATTAAGAAGCAGACATAAGGCCCTCTTGTGGCACAGTGCTAGTGACCCTACCCTTGGATTGAGGGACCTGGGTTCAAATCCCATCTGCCCCAGCGGTGTGTAATAACATCACTGAACAGGCTAATTAGAAAAATAGGTTTAAAAAAAATTAAGAAGGTGGCGTACTTGCATTAGAAGCAGTTCAGAGAAAGGTCGCTGGGATGAAGGAGTTGGCTTGTGAGGAAGGATTGAACGAGTTGGTTCTGTACTCCCTGGAATTTCGGAGAGTGAGAACTGATCTTATTTAAAAATAACATTCTGAAGGGACTTGACAGGATAGAGACCTCCTCTCATCGGGCATTGTAGAACTTGGAGCAGATTTTTAAAATAAGGGATTCTGTATCTGGGATAGAGACAAGGAGGAACTTCATCTCCAGGAGGTTTAATAATGTCTGGGATTCTCTTCCCCAGTGAGCGATGAAGAATTTACACAAAGCTGACTTGAACAGGTCTTTGATTGACAAGGCGTTGAGAGTTATAGAGAGCAGCCAGTAACATGGATTTAGGGACAGAATTGGAAGCCAGGATCTTATCAAATAGGGAAACAGGCTCGATTGGCTGATTTCTTGAGAGAGATATCACAAGGGAAACCCAGTTGCATTCTTGCCTAATACCCTGGCTGATTGCTGCCCCCGACTCAAGGCACTGAGGTCAACTGACTCCTCAGAGATCCCGTTCTTAGAGGCAGGGTTGGGATGGAGGGTACAGCTCTGTAATGGGTGGTTGGATCCTCGGGATAGCTCATTGAGTGTATCATCCTGTGTGTGTGTGACTGTGTGTCTGTATGTTGTGGATGTGCATGTCTGTATGTGCACTCATCTTTCTCTGTGTGTCTGTGTGTGTTCCCAGCCTGAATTTAAGGCTGTTTCTGATCTGCTGTTGTATTTCCCAGGAATTAAGGCGATTGGCCTGATTAACGAGGCTGTGGATGAAGGGGATCCTCAGAAGACCCTGAACGCACTGCTCCTGCCGAGTGCCAAGCTTGCTGATGTCTTGCCCCCAGTGGCTGAACATTACCAGGAGACCCTCATTCGAGCGAAGAGAGAGAAGGCTCAGGTACGGAATTCTGCAATAATTCATACACACACAGCCCTGGTCCGTGTATTTCAATCCAACAGCTACCCATGTCAGAGAGTTCCCCCGTAGCCTGGCCAATCCTTCACATTCTTGACTTTTGTCCACCTCAGGAGGGACCTGAAGCAGTCCCGCTCCATTGGTCCCACTCTGTGCCATCTTTCACTGATCAGTTTGTGTTCAGTTGGTTCGAGCTCAATCGCTGATAACTTTGCAGCAACTTTCACAATTGACATGTCTGGAGCTCATTTAAGACAGCAGCTAATTTCAGAGAATTCCAGCTGAGTGGTGGGACACAGAGACTTCTTGGAATACACGGGATCTGAAGGCTGCTGCTCAGGTTGTTCCTAGTTTGCTCCCAGCTCTGTGCTCTGTGTAAAAGTCTGGTTCATTGAGGAGAGGTTGTAGCAGCAACACTTGAGTATAGAGCTACACAGTGCTTACACGGTCATCAAGGGAGAGCTAGACTGGATAGTCCTGTCATTTCTTCCCTCCATAGTTATTAATAGACTGGTCTATGTGCCTCTCACCCTTCTGTTCCTTTCTCTATCTCTCTCTATCTCCCTCTATCTCCCTCATCACTGTGTTCCCCTTTCTCTCCCTTGTCATTCTTTCTTTCTCTCTCTCTCTCTCTCTCTCTCTCTCATCGCTGTGCACTCTTTTTTTCTCTCTCACTCCCTCATCACTTTGCTCCCCTCACTCTTCTTCATCATTGTGCTCCTTTCTCTCTCTTTCTCTCTCTCTCTCTTTTTCTCTCTGTCTCTCTCTCTCTGTCTCTCTTTCTCTCTCTCTCTCTGTCTCGTCACCGTGCTGTTTCCAAACTTGTCCTCCCTCCTGGTTTTATCCATTTGTAATTCCAGCACCAGTTAACTTGAATTGTACTGATTCGCAGCAACTTTAATGCATTACAAATCAATAATGAATTAATAACAAGTCTTTACTAGCTGTAAAATAAAAATCGGACCTTTTTCCACAGAAGTTGAAATTTCCTGGAAAGTACAAAGTTTAGTGCAATTTCCAAATCCTGTTTTTTTTAAGTGGAGAGCGTGTAATTTGATCATAGAGTCAGAATGGTTGCAGCACGTTGAGGCCTCTCTGGCTTTCTGAGATGGGAATGCAGCAAGTCCCATTGCCCTGCCTTTCCCCTTGTCCTACATAGAACATAGAACAGTACAGACCCTTCGGCCCATGATGTTGTCCCGACCTATTATCCTACACTACATACCCATCCATGTGCCTATACAAGTGTCGCTTATATTACCCTAATGTATCTGACTCCACTACCACTGCCGGCAGCGCATTCCACGCACCCACCACCCTCTGAGTGAAGAACTTACCTCTGACATCTCCCCTATACCTTCCTCCAATCACTTTAAAATTATGCCCCCTCATAATAGTCATTTCCATCCTGGGAACAAGTCTCTCTGGCTATCCACTCTATCTATGCCTCTCATCATCGATAAATGTAAACAAGGAAACATGCCCTGGGAGCAGCAAAGAAATGTGAGATATACTTGTAACATCAAAGAGTTAATATTGTTGTTTCTCGTTGCATTCTGAGTGCTCACAATCTCACCAAACGAGATCCGCATTGTTATTGGCAAAGATCCAAACAACCTTGGTGCTTGTCCAGTTCCCTGCAGAGCTGCCTTTTCAAGCAGACTGCTTTTGGCTGGATCGCTGGTTGTAGACCGTAAAGATTGGGAATCAAATCCCCGATCTCCAGATTGAAAGCTTAAAATAAAACTTACAAACTTCCATTTATGGCCCTGTCTCCAGCAGCAGTAGGAGCAGGTTCCACAATCTCCCGCAGGCAGTTAAGCTGTAAAGTTAATGCAAAAGTTGGGATATATTTGATTTCAAGCAGAATTATTTCTGCATTCTTCTAGCCTCCACAATACTTCATGTCCACTTAGCTCAATGAGGAGCTCAGCATCCTCTGATGGAGAGGCTCCCCTCTTCGTCCCCACTCCAGAATTTGGTCTGTTCATCCAGTCTCCCAGTCCATGCTGGGGGAGTAATGGCCCAGTCTCAGTCCGTGCTGGGGGA